ACGAAATCACCAAATGAAATAAAATCGTTTAAACATTTTCAGACTCCTCATTGTTATTATTGATATTAAGCAAGCTTAGCAAGGTACATGACCAGAATTGAAAATCAATCTCATTACAAAAGTCCTGATCAGTAGAACTAATTTGCTAACCACTGCTCCATAATGAGGCAATCTAATTTTATGTGTGTCAATCTCCAGCTCCTTAATTACTTACATTTTTTGGTGGGGGAGCAGGTACATGTCTAAATGATAAATGCACTGATGTTAAGTTGCAAATAACTTCTCTTCAATGCACTCACACCTTCATTACTAGCCAAATGCTTCTAGGTTTATATTATTAGGTATGTGCAAAAATTTCTGGTAAAAACTGGTTTCATGTCTCTAACTGAAAAAAAGGAGCACTGAAAAGTTTTGTATAGGCCTAAAACAAAAAAAAAAACACCAAATTTGGAGACAGATGAAATGTTAACAGATTTGCTTAAGAGTAAATAAACTTAGCCTAGCACCAGTTAAGAATGAGCAAGATCATGTGGTGCCAGTCTTCCAAACGGAAGAATTTTTTTACTGGAAATACTGATATTTAACATTGGAGCTAATGAGTTCATAAGTATGAAACTGACAAAAAGGGCTTTGATATATTGACTGACCGTAATATGCCACAATTAAGAGGCACCCAGTGAGGAACAAATCCTTTATAGTGATGGTCTATTAGTCCAGATTGTTGAACACTATTTCAAGGTATGCATCCAAAACCTAGAAAAACAGTGGGGCACCTAGTGAGGATCTGGCTTACTACACCAGCAAACGGTTAATGGAATGAGCTTGCTCACCATTTGATCATGATAGGAACTTTGATATTACTTATCTTAAGGGATATTTGTTATTGTATTTTAATATAAATAGAGTTGTTTAAATTATAAAAATGCTGAGTTCATGATGCTTCAAAATCAATTAATCCTAAAGCACCTTGTGATGGAGTTCATTATCCTAACCAAATAATTTCAAAGCCTGATCTTAATCTATGGTGATGACTGCCAACATCACATTTTCTGTCTCCATCCTGATGCACCATTAAAAATGAAGATTCATTAAGATGAAGATAATCTGAAATCCAAGAATTGTTTGGACTAACATTCTCAACTTTTGGCATTTTTATCACTACATTTCATACAGTTTATTCTTCAATATTCTTCATATTCACAAAGTAGGGTTTTGCCCTAATACATCTGAGGAAACAATGGTAAGTAACAGTATTTTTTTCTGCATACATACAGAATACACAACACAAGATCATTTTTATACTTGTAATTCTTGGTCCTTGCTGCAGATATCAGGATGTATTTCTGAACCTACCTCATTTAAGGAAATACAAGGTGTTGTTTGAAGGATGGATACTCAGTTTCAAGGTTAAAATTATTGTTGAATCCATTCCTCATTCAAAGACATTTATTTTGCACCCCCCCCCCAAATACAACAAAAGATGACCTTTATGCAAAACAATGTTAATAGGAAAAAATATCCATATCCCTTGATCCTTGTTAGATATCAGGGTACACTTCTGACCCTACCCACTTTAGTGCATTTCAGAGATGTTGTTATCTATGAAGGCAATATACATCCACAGGTCAGTCTGGGAAAAAAAAAAAAAAAAAAAAAAAAAAAAAGCCACCGGAGTAGTCAAAATATTTTCTCAGTACATTCACAAAACACTGATAATACCTACTTCCAGTTGTGCGAGATGCTTTCTTTGGTTCTAAATTATCAAATATTGGTACAATCATAGTATTAAAGTCTGTGTTGGTTCTATTTGTACATTCTAATGTCACATAACCTCTTATTTAGGGATTCATTCCACAATAGAAATATTCTGATGATATTTGGATCTAAATGTTTTGTATCCAAAATAAATCATTTTTTGCTGCTTCACTGAACTTTTTTTTGTACTTTTTTTTCCTCCCTGAAATCAATGTAATCTATCAATATATATTTTTTTTTAAACAAAAAAGAATTAAACCTTAAATTTTAATGCCAGTTTTAATAGAATTAATCACCACTTAACTCAGGAACTTAATGATGGCATCAAAATATAAAAAAATCAAGTAGTATAACACTTTCTGTACAGTAAAGATCAACCAGCTGAGGATAAACATCTTTAATATTTTTATCTATGAAAACATCACTCAGATTAAATCCTTCATTTTACAAACTTGTCTAAAGTTTTATTGGTGCATGAATGATACCAAGGGTAACTTCTAGGAGTGAAAGGTTTAAGAAAAATGCTGATGAAAAGATTGTCATCATATATGAATATAGCAAAAGAACACACTCACTGGTTGTAAATACCCTCACACCTAGAGACTGGCTGTAGTCACCTAAAGTTTTACATTTAATGTTTATTTTATTTTTCTCTATCAACTTTTCTGTCTATTTGCTAAGAAGTTAATTTTCTTTAATCGTACTCCAGCATTTGGTCACTATTTTCCAACATCTGAATTTGACAGTTTTGATTTCAATTGAAGCAACAACAGAAAAACCCCAAGTTTTGTTAAGTACACAATGAACCAATTTAGGTTTACAATCTTAGACTGGGGTGGTGATGAGGAATATCAAAGGCAGAGAAAAAGCTCCTACACCAGTATACAAAATTACCCACCCTCATGCATATATTTATATATGGTGCAGTGATGTTAGGATTAAGATCCTGAGGAGCCACACCTGATTACACCTGTTTATATTTGGTTCCATGATAATGAAAGATCACACCCATTCCTGATCAACATCAAACAGGCACCCATTTATGTTTGGTCCAGTGCCTGACCCTGACTGACTGAACCCTCACCCACAGTTAGAATTGTATTAACAGTTTAGCATTCAACCTGGATTAAATAAAGATGTGAGAAACTTGATAATCACTCTTTTTGTTATAATAAATAACACAGCTATTTCTTCTATGTGCTGTGCCTCTTCAGGATGTTGCTGATCATGGTTTTCCATAACTTCCTGTCCTTTGCGGCTCTTAGTAAGATTTGTCATTTTGCTATATGTCCTAATCTGTTATGTCAACTAATTACAAAAGCTTCTTAGGTAGGTTATTTGCCGCTTTCCTCTCGCTTCAACATGTCATATGAGTGTCAAATTCTCCAAGCCCTCATTATGTGCCCTGGAAATTACAATTGTCTCTTTCTGATTCTAAGTGTCATTTTTGTTTTCATTATCCCTAAAACTTCTTTGTTATGCACAAGTTCCATCCATGATATTCTCAGCAACCTTCTGTAGAACCAAATTTGTTGCTTCAAGTCTCTTCTTTATCTGTGAGGAGATTCACTGCCATATAATAGGATTGATATTGCAGAAGTTTAGTACTCTCTTCTTTGTTTCTAACAAAATTTTCCTGATTCTTAATATTTTGCTTAGCTTATCTTTCACTATTCTGATGCAGATTTCGTGGTTCCATTTTCTGTCAAAATATTAAACATAATTTTGGCACCTCCAATTTGTAGCTCACATCTTGGACTATTCCTCTTGCTGACAGCCATACATTCTCTCTTCTTAAAATTAACGTTTAGTCCTTTCTTCTTACTTTCCTTTACTAGTTCCTTTTGGTTCCTTTCTCCGTCTGCTAACACTAGCTTTAAGACAAGTGACAAGAAGTGATATGACTGGAGGAGTAAGAATAATTTTCATTCAACTATCCAATCCAATTAGATTATAAAAAATAAAATCAAAAAATAATGAGAAAAAAATTACTATTTTGAAATCTATAGAACATAAGAATGTTTTAATAATAATTAAGAATAAAACTTGTACATCTTTCTTCAAGTCATAGTACAAGGAATAGATCCCAAATTCTAAGCAATAATCAAAATTGAATTTATTGTTCTCATGATTGAGATACAATCATCAGAACAACAAACTAATTTTTATTTTTTTTCTTTCTTTTGCAGGAAGATTTGGGGTGAAAGATTAAAAATTAAAAATAAATCAATTATATTAAAAACATGATTTTTCTAAAGAAATAACTTGATAAGAGCATTTTTTAAAATTCCATTGTCTCTTCTCCATAAAATACTATAACTTTTAAGAGACTACAGTAGTTTTTGATAAACTTAAAAAAATTGTTTCTGAACATAGGCCATGTGTCTTTTTGACAACATCTATACAGATATAAAATGTCTAAAATAACTTTGAAACATAGTAAAAAAGAAATAAATTTCACTTAAGCCAACTTTCTAACTAGGAAAGGAAAATTCTGGCATGTATATGACTTAATAGAAGAGATGATAAAGTTCTTTGGTTCAAACTTAGGTGCCAGAAAGGGAAGGCTAATTAGATTATATATACTTATATACACTAAAATCAACTACAAGGCTTCATCTATTTCCCAAAATCAATATTCTTATATTTAGCCATTGAAATGCTGATTTGGGAAATGGAGGATATTAAGAAATTTTCAGCACCTCTACATATAACAAAGGAACTACCACTGAAACTATAACATGTTTCAAACCAAAATGCAAAACTATTGGTTGAAAAATATTTTTACTGACAAATGCTAGTTTGGTATGAGCATATTGTAAAACAAAGGCAAATCTACTAAATTATATCTTTTGGGTTAGAGAAAGCTCTCTAACCCCAAGTATTTAATACTTTTTTTCATTATTATTGATTGGTATTCTGATAAACTTATTATGATTCTATTAGGCACTTACAATGGCTGAAATAAAGTTGTCTTTCTGAGAACTTGCTTACCCATCTTTGATAAAACACATCAATAGTTTGCAGCACAAAACTTCAGAAACATTTGGTAAACCAATATTATTTTAACTTAAATATGATTCCTACATTTATAGATTACATAGTGAAGAAATGTTTTCTTAAACATAAAATGGTAAGAATACCAAAAGAAGATCCAATATATACATATATACATTTTTAACAGCCATTTAGGAATGATTGTTGGTTAATGAAAGAATTTAAAAAATTAAAATAGGAACTTTTTTTTAGTCATCTGCAGGTTTAAGAAATGTTGTCTTAAATCCATTCTTTTTGTTTTTCTTGCGCGAACTGTGTTCATGCACTGAATCCATCAATATTTCCATGTGATCCCGTTTCTTCTTTAATTTCTGTGAGCCCACAATGTTTTTAAATCTGAAATGAAATAAAAAAAACAATAATGAATTGTTAGATGAGGAAAACAAGAAATTAAAATAAGAGAATATCAGGGAAAGAATGAATTGGTATTGTATTTTTTTTTTAAGAGAGATTTCATACCAATGTAAAAAAATTTTTTCACATAAAAATAAACTGATTAACATTTTAATGCATTTTCTACATATAGTTATTGAATTTTGTTAAATTTCTAAAATTGGCAAAGGACAATATAAGCAGAAGACAGGGTATTATCAGTAAATGAACATGTTTTAATTAGAATGTTATATTTATCAAGCAACCTTCATTTTGTAGAATTTTAATGCAGTCACAAAGATTCCTATGTTAATAACTTTAGTCTTCAAATGAATCAAGTATTGAAGTTCTTATGATTAAAGTATTGTATCTTTCAATCATGTGAACCAAACTTTCATGCATGAATTCTTTTGCGTGTCAACTTTGTCTACAAATAAAATCAGCAAATTTTTATAAATCAAACTTTGAGGTAAAATCATTTTATTATTTATTTAAAATTTTACCCCATGGAAAATGTCTATGAAAAGTAAATATTTAAGATTAAAAAAAAAAAAAATAATAATAATTTTCCAATTTTGAATAAACACTTTTTTTTTTAAATCTACAACCTTATACACATACTGTGAAAAAGCATCTGTAGTAGAGAGCCAGAAAAAATTCATTAATGAATTACTGTCAGGATCTAGATTTTGAGCTGAAACATTTTTGCTAACTTGAAGCACTAAGACTATATTGGCTGAATTTATATAATTACAACAAACAAGGTAAACAGTTATAATCATTATCTGTCTATATTTCTGAGATGAGGTATTATATACACTATTTACATTATTCAGACTATTGTCCTCATCTTTGTCGCCATATTTATTACAACGTTTCAATTTATTCTTAAGGAGTCAGGTGGTTGGAATGTCGATGTGAACCCTTTATTTCGCTCACTTGAGTAGACTGTTCTAGTCAAACCAGGAAGATGTTCAGGATCTACTGGACCGTGTGAACTCAATAAGATCTTGATACAGTTTTTTTGAATGGGGAAAGAGAATTAACAACACAATCCATTCTTGGATGTTCTAATATCTCTAACAGAGCATGGGTTCAAATTGACATCCGTATATAAATTTCCACATTCACTGGACATTACCACAATTTCAAATCCCATATATCCATAGATATATAAATAAATAAATATTCTTGATGTGTTTACTGGAAAACATTACCGAGCAAAAAAAGTCATAAAATTATTTATGTGTGTATTAAATAAAGAATTGGTCAGTATAATATATACCCTATATATAACAACTACCCTGTATATATTAGCAGCAGTCCATAAAAAAAAAAATGGAATAGGCGGGTATTTAGTTTTTAAGTTAGGACAACATCACTCTGAAAAAGTTTAAATTTATGTGAAGGGGTTATCAATGAAAATACAAAGGATCTGCTGTCCATATAACATCAGAACAACCTTCAAAAACTGAAGCGACACTTCACAATATCCTCCCAAAAAATTGAACCCCCCAGGAAAACATGACTAAAGACTGTGTGCAGCTGTGGAAAAAAATATAAAGGATGACAAGCCAAAACCTTAAGGTAAGGCTTCAAAGAACACCAATCTGTAAAACGAGGGTTCTGGAAAAATGACATGGCTGACCACATATGGAGAAAAATTTTCACCGCCCTCTGTGGGGATCATAGACAAAGAAAACACCATTGGAAAATTCATAAACAAGGAATCAAGCACATATGCTAGGCCACAAAAATCTCCTGAGCCAACCAAGCATAGAAATGAATACAATATGGGAATCAGGGAAACTTTTTGAAATAAAAATAAACAGTTAAAGGATAACAACAACAAAAATTGCAATATGAGAACTGGTAAAAAATGGTTTTGAAGATATTAGGTTTATAATACCCAGAAATTCATAAAAGGATATCCCCAAGGACACATGGTACAGTGGATAAAAAGGTATTAGTTAGATCCAAACAGGACCCAAAGAGTTCAATTTACCCAGTTAAGGCAGTGGAGAACTTGGAGGGATTTTAACAGAAGATAACTGATCCCTGACATCCATTAAACATGGCAATGTGGAACTAGAACAGTCTCCTCAAAAAGCGACAAAAGGAAATTAATTAACTTCCAACCACCTGAAGAAGGCTAGGAAATGAAATGGCTGAAATGTTGTAATAAATATGGAACAAAAATGAGGGACAATAGTCCGAATAATGTAAATAGTGTTATAATCCTTTTTCATTGAGGTTTTAATTTTTAATACTTCAAAAATTTTAATATAAACTAATCACAAAATAAATATCATTAAGCATTTCCTTCATATTCAGATTTTAAGTCACACATACACAAGCATAGCAAGGAGTAAATGATTTTATTAAAACCTATTTTTTTTCAATTTTACATTTCAACTGGTCCATTTTCTAACATCCTTCAGTTGAGCTACTTTAATTCTAGCAGATGGGTTCACCTTAACTTTGTTCTCCAAAATTATATCCCTTGAACTAAATGTAGAATGGAATTTTTATCTCCAATTAATACTTCCAGTCTGTTAAACTATGGTATTTCTACTTTAACCCAATAGTTTTTGCTTCCTGTCTTTCCCTTTCTTGTTAGATTTTATAACCATTTAAACTTTACCTCTGATTTCTCCACCCCTTGACAGTGAGGAATAGTCAACTTTACACACCTTCAAATTTCAGTTAAGTGTTGTGAACTAAGTTATATGGTCATGAAACTTGTTACTGACTCATTTCCTTCTAGTAACTATACTTGATTTTGTAGTAGTAGCACTATACATTCAGAGTTCCTTAAGCTTTATGTCTCATATTGTAAGCTTATTCCAATGAAATTAACAGCATTATTTTTAAATGTGCATAAGCTTAGATCTGGAGAACAGAATTGCATTATGGGATATAATGGATAAGTGGTAGTGTTTTATTTCTAACTTATGTCTCCTTGCTGCATTTGACTAAGTTTTCTAAGAATTTTTGAAACCACCAGCCCCAGTATAAATCACTTCATAGGATTTTTTATAAAACAATACTAGAACATAAATAGTATAACATCACAAATAAGAATTGAAAAAGGCCTGAGAATAAATCATAAAAAAAAGATAGTAGTCACACAAAACTTAAGAAAAAAAACAACATTTTTTGTTAATTTCTTAATTACTACTAGCATTTCATTTTATTACTATTTCACTATCCTATCCAAATTTAATGTTAGCTCCGGAGCTAATCTTGACAGTTCATAAATAAAGACAGTTGATAATCTTAAACATTTTTTACCCCTTGTTTCTAAACAAGGAACTATTTTTACTCTAAAAATTTTTAAGTAATAAAACACTGCTTTATTTTTGAGAGTAAATGGAAAATACTAGATTCAGATTACAATATCAGGTCTTTCTATTCAATTTTTATAAAACTATCTAAGGAACATAAGTGAAAATATTCAGTATAATCATATAATCTACACTTATTCATGTACAGGGTGCGAGAATAAGTCATCATCTAAATTACTCAAAAATGAAAATGGCACTGACATCTCATTTTAACAGATATATTTACCAAAATTACACAAAAATATCTTGAAATACTAAAGAGTAAATTTATTTAATAAAATTGCCATTGTTTTCAACCATGGCCTCTAGACAACTTTAGAATCTCCTGCAACTCTTCTAGACGGTCTCCTTGTTTAAGTTGGTGAATGCTGCCATAATTCTTGCCTTCAGTTTATCTTTGGTGTTAGGAGTTTTGTTGATCTTTCATGCAATTGTGCCCCAGACATAATAACCAAGGCGGTTGCAATCTGGGGAGTTAAGTGGCCAGTTGTAAAGGGTGATGTGGTGGCAGAAATTGTCTGACAGCTATGACTGGGTTCTGCTTATGTAGCATGGTGCAGAGTCCTGTTGCTTGACAGTCTTCCAGCAGCCACCCTTTTGACCCAGGGCAGCACTACCTTCTCAAGGCACTTGATGTAGTCCTCCATGTTGAGTCTGAGGTCCCACCAAAAATGAATGGAGTTTTTTTATCAGAATGATCACTAGTGATTTTCCACTCTGAACACCTTGGTAATCACCATTAGACTCAACCAACTACTTCCGAATCCTCTGCATTGTCCTCAGATTGACACACAAACATTCTGAAATGTTTGTCTTGGAGTTACTGGTGTGAATGCTAAGCAGTACAGCATGCCATTTCCAAATTTCTGGTGAGTGAATTGCATCATGGTGTTCTTTTTCTCACAGACAGTGCCTAACTGACCCTACTATACTGTGCAGTCAACAAAATCAAAAACAAACAATGTGCACGCATGAAATTAAAAAAGATAAAATGGCGACAATTTACCCATCGCACCTTATGTATCGTTTAGGCATGTCTGATTGAATAAATTAGACATTATATCTGCTAAATTTTAACAAAATCCGTTTATACTCATGAATAAGCAAGTACACCAAAAAAAATAATAAATTCAAGCTACACATCCTAGATGCAATTTATATTAACAAAAATTAAAGCCAGCACTGAACAGAATCAACTATGAATACTGCAGTAATGTCCTGAAATGCCTATAAAGGAATAGTTTTTCACACTTTAATGCACACATGACCATGACATTATAACAGAGGAAAAAAAAAATCCATAATGGATAATTTTTTCACATTCTAATAAATGTTCAGCATTGTCAACCATTTACATTTAAAAGCATAATGAAAAATTACGGTAATGGATAGCAACACAGAGCTTTGTATAAATACTTGTACTCCTAATGATGATCTTGGAAGAAGACTGAAACAATTATAGCACATTTCTCTCAATCCTCTAATGGAAAAAAAAAAATTTTTGTTAGTATTCAGTTCAAAAATGATGTTTGTTAAAAAAAATTAGTATACATCTGTCATCATTTATCAATAAGAATCTTTTCTCATGAAATTTTTAAATTTTTTTCAATATATTTTTATTACAACTATATATATATATATAACAGATAATATATTCTTATATTTAAATATATTGGTTCTATATTTATATAAATATATATATAATAATATATATATCATATATATATATATATATATATACATATTGATATAAATATATATATAAGAAATTTATATATAATATATATATATTTTTATATTCAAAATTATTTCCTCAACTGAAAACATTCTTTCTATTAAATACCCCATGTATAATAGGATTATTAAAAAATATAACAAAATGATTATTTTGTGTATTTAAATATTCTTATAAAAAAATGTATATTTAATGTATCTTAAACTTAAAACATTTGAATAAACAGATTTTGAAAATTTTATGAACAAAACATTGTTTTTGAAGAGGAAATTGATCATTTCTTGTTAATTTAGATATTTTTTATTTGTTCAATTTTGATCAAATTGCATTTTTTTTTTGTAAAAAAAAATACCTTTATCTTGATTTAGATGAATCCTTTTTTATCATTATAAAAATAAAACCTGAAGAAATATAATAAAACAAATTTTCCAGATATTAAAAACCATAAATTAATCAAATTCTGATCATATATACAACATTAATAGTATTACAAACCTATAGTTATATTTAATTTAAAAAATGATATCTATATATCAAATTTTATGGGGTATTTATATATTTAAATAGTGAATATAAACAAAATTAAAGATTCAATTAATATCTAAAATGACATATATATAAAATTTCATAGTTATCCATATATAATAATAGAAAAAACAAATATTTATAATAAATAAGAAATATTACCAATGTTAAGATTTTATTTATTGGTGAAAATACTTGTTAAATTGAAAAAAATCTATTATACTATAGAAAAGTTTGGTTTTCTGATAAGTTTTGATTTAAAAATATTTATGAAAAGTTTATATTCAGAGAGAAAGCTACAGAGGGAAGAAAAGAAAATGATTTTATCAACAACGGAGTAATATAATGTATATAATGAATATACTGGAAAAACAATCATTTTCAATACATTTTCTTAACAATTTCAAATTAAAGTAAAAGGTCAATATCAAGCAATGATTAAGAAATCAATTTTCCAAGACATGATATCAGTATATATATAGCAAATAAAATTTGGGATGGCATATATTTAAAAAAAAGCCCCAAAGAATAAACATATTAAAAATGATAAATCTTACCTATATGCCATTTCTTCATCATCGACAGCAGCTTCATTTTCCCGTTTTTCTGCATGATCAAGTTCATTGACTATCATCAATTTCTGCATTCAAAATAAGAAAATGTTTCATTGCATCATCTTAAAAAGGTTTTTCTTGTTCTTATGAAACATCTAACTTGAAGGTGGAAAAATTAAACAAATTTAATATGAAAAATAAACTTTATATTCAGAATAATATATTTCAATGTCTAAGCAAACAAGTCATTTTTGATTTTTTATAGAAATTTTCATAATTAAATCACTAAAATCTCTTTGTATCAAAAAATATACAATTTTTTATAACCATTAAATGTAAGTAAAGTTTGTACTTGTTTGTGAAGTAAATAAATATACAATATTGCAGTTCTGAAAAAACACTATCCTAATGGTAACAAAATGTCCACAAGTTGTTTCCCTTTAGGTCAATATTGATTTTTTAGCAGCCACAATTTCGATCATTATTGAGTATCTCATTATTTCACTTCCAACTAATTCCTCATCTAATTTATAAATGTATTCATTGTATTGAATTAAAAGAAAGCTACAAATCTTGAACCGAAGATCTATCCTGGAAACTTACCTCAATTTCTGGATTACAACCAAGAAAAGACATTCGACCAAACTTTAGTTCTTCACAAAAAACATAGCTTGGATTCACCTCAAAAAGATTTCTGGAACAACAAATTTACAGTTCAAATAGAAATCAGTAAATAAGTTATAGAATAAAAGAATAAAAAAAAAAAAATTGATTTTTGAATAAGATAGAATAAATAATTACTGGCTATTTATGTAACTCACATCAAGTGCAGGATTTATTAAGCAAATATGTTTGTTAGAATGACTATACATACAGTAAATTCTGGCAGTAGAATCAAAATACATTGGCTCAAATGTGAATGATAGGAATTTAATAAAATTTTCTGTCATTCAATGGATCATTTCTATATATCAGCCACATTCCCATACAATCATCGAAGTTAAGCAACTTCAAGCCTGATCAGTGACCACTTGGGAATATCAGGTGCTTGGATGTGCAGCTGGTGTAATGGATAATGGCTTGGAATTGTTAATTGGAGAGTAGAGTTCCAATTTTGGTTGGGTTCGTTATATTCACTTATGCGTAAATAGTCATGGGAAATGTATGAATCCACATCTTCCCCTCAGCTATGGTAAGACGTGTATAACTATTATTACCACCCCACAAAAAACAAAACAAAAAAAAACACAGTCTTAAAATCTAAAAATATTTTCTGGCTTTTCTCTGAAAAGGGTTGATAAGCTGTAGAAAATTAATTAGTCAAATGTTATTGTTGTAGCATATCTACGGACGATAACGGATATGCCCCCATTCCCATAAATACAGTAGTGAATACTGTATGTGTTGGTCTGCAGTCTGCAGTTGGAGAATCATTGTGGAATTCACTTGACTCACTTCTAGCAGTTAACTACTTCTGCCATGTGCTGATGGTGACTCTTTTAGGAGTTGTTCGTGTCCTAAGTATTATCATTCATTACCAACCTTCATGTGATTATTCTATTTAGTAACCTTCCCTAGGTTACAACAGATATATATCTGCTCAAATTCATTTATGAGGAATGCTGTTTACTTGATTATTTGGAATTAACTTAGAACCACTTCACCTTTATGAAACTGCAGATCCATACAGAATTGGTTGTCAAATAATTGAAGCTAGTTATTTTTCATGTTTAATGAAAAATTATTGCTTTTGAAAAAAGTGTCTCTTCTAAATTTTAATAGTGATAATAAATACATGTTAATTATATGAACCAACTTCTATATCTTACATTCTTAAACATTATTTTACTCCAAATGTTTCACAAATTTAAGATTATTTTATTCAATGAAAATCAGCTAAAACGCAAGATTTGAAGATTAAAATCTAAATTACAAAATGTCGTTTTTCATTAACCCCATAATTTAAATTTTGCAGCTTATGCATTTAGTCTTAAAAAATATCTCACCTCATTGCATGAAGAATATTGCAGTTAGTGAGTGTAGACTGATACCAATGGCAACAGCTGATAGAAGGTAATTTGAGAGGCTTCACATTAAATTGTGTTATATATACCCTTGTGGGGAGGCAATTAAATGTAAACACTTTAGTTTCAAAAGAAAACATTTTCTAAATCACTATTACTGAGAGTTTAAAATAAGCAAACAAATACACAAATATATATACACATTTTTTTTTTCAGATTCTGTCTGCAGATAAAAGGAATACACTAGCATGCAAAAGTTTTGGGCCAACTACATAAAATGATTATACCTTTATTTTATTAAGAAGTTAAGATTGTTTAACTGCTTCTATCAGTAGAGTATCTGGAGTTTCATATGTGCTATGTAACAGACGATATGTAGCTTGAAGCTGAAAAATGGTCATGCAAAACTATTGGGTTGATGAAAGATCTGAGATAATAAAGTTATGATAAAATGCAAATTTATAAGTAGGAATTATTCCATCTTATGAATGAGTGTAATGTGCCTTGGTAAATCATTGTAGTTGAACATTAGCTTGCTTTATTTTATACTACAAGGGTAAGTCAAAAATTATGTGCACTTTCACCATAACATATCTTTAGACAAAAGTGTGGATAAACTTTTACTTTCCCTTGTAAAATGACGGCTGAAATTTCTGCTGAAGCAAAGATGAAGTTTGTGACTTTGAAGGGGAAGATGACTTAACAAGAGATAGGCAGGGGGCTGGGAATTTCCAGAAACAATGTTCAAACCATCCAAAAGACATTTGCTACTAATGGAAGTGTTTTAAATATAAAGAAAACCAAAGACCACAAAAATTAGACAAGAGAGATGAAAGAAAGATTGTGAGAGTCTCAATAGGCAATCCAAAATTAACAGCCAGACAAGTGAGGAGTAAATGCAGTGAGGTTTCAGTTGATACAGTACATAGAGTACCAATTGAACAGGTGTATAGAAGAAATCATTAACCAAAAACCCATTGGAATAGAAGATTGATGAAATGAACATCGAACAAAGGCTGCTGAAAAGTGGCAAAAAGTAATTTTTGCAAAATAGATTTAAATTCTAATACAAGAGAGAATATGTAAGAAAACCAGTGGGAGAAAGAAACAATGCAAGATACATACCAGTGATAGGAAAATTTGGTGGTGGACACATAATTGTATCAAAAGCAATGTTAGAAGAAAATTGGTAAAAGTTGATGGAAATCTAAACTGCAAAAAACTATATTAGTTTACTACAGTCTAATCTTCTGCTAGACTACAAAGATGGAGAGATTTTTCAGCATGATGGTGCTCTGTACCACATATTAACATGCAACAAAAAGGTTTCTTGTGGATGAAAGGTTCAATTTTTGGAGACTGGCCAGCACAGGAAGTCATGATATCATTATAATTGAACCATTGTGGTGAAAACTGAAGAAACAAATTCTCCAACAAGAACCACACACTCTGCAAGAGCTTTGGTATTACTGCCAAGAAGAATAGAAAAAATTCTCAATGAGGAAATATGAACCTTGTTCCATTTAATACCACATTGAATTGAGGCAATTATTTGAACCAAAGGAAGCAACACTAATTACAAACTGAATACATTAGCATTTTGTACTTTATGTAATAACAAAGATCACTTGTTGCAAAAAAAAAAAAAAAAAAAAAAAAAAAAAATCCGTTTTAGGTTAAGAAAAGAGCTGAAAAGTTTGCTAGTGGACCAGTATTTTTGCATGGCATTTTTTCATCATCAATATGCTTAAGATGTTCTATTATCCATTATACAGCATTAGCTTATACATACAGTAGCTTATTTCTGAACCTAAAAGATCATAAGATGTACCAAAAAAGAAAAAAAAACTGTAGTTAATTTACAAAGGTGGCCCAAAAGTTTGCATGCCAGTGTACATAATTCATATTAAAAGCAACCATTCCACCTGCTGGATAATAATTCTTTTGGAACTAGAGTAAATTTACAAATCGTATTCATTAGAATCTGAAAAAACATTGTACATTTCCTTTTTTTCTTTTTACATCTTTTAAAATGTACACAAAAGACATGAATAATAAAACAAAGTTTATTTACTTACTCTTCTTGCTTTTCTACTGGCCGTGCAATAACCCAGTGTTCATCATCAATGGCTCTTTGATTTTCATCAGCATTTTGTTCTTTTTCCAAACGGATTACTGTCCTTTGCATAAACTGCACAAAAAAAAAAAAAAAATTTAGAAATAGCTATTATATAATACAAAAATAAAAATGTTTATTAACCTTAAATTAGTATTTTTCTTCTTATTTTTTAATACTATTTTATTGTAAATCTTAAGTCATTAAATAAGTAGCATGGATCAGAGTTCAAATCTTTTCATTAGCTTATTCTTTATTTTTCTTACTTGAAAATTAAAAAATAAAAGTAAGATGAAGTAAATGCTAAACAAAAAAAGAAATTAATAAATTTTTGTATAAAAATGTTTGTTCATCTTATTGAAAAAAAAAAAAAAAGAAGATAATTACTATATTTGCAAGCAATATTTGAATTTTAAAAATATATACAAAAATTATACGACATCAGTAAAGGTCTAGGCAGTTATGGGGCTTGGACGATTTATGGTGGAACAATAATCTCCCCAAATACCCTTATGAATAACAAATTACAAACCTGCAAATGTTATTTTCACTCAAAATTGATATAAATTTCATGCCTAAATCTCACTTATAAAGATAATAAAAGCACTTATTTTTTTTACTGTCTACATTTGCTACTAGCATATCACAGGCAATTCTGATTGACTCAGTAGTATATTCTATACTACTACTTTTATGTGCTATGTCCTTTCAGAACATGAGTGATCGACATCTACAATTTAACTTGTTGCCTATGGTGTAAGCATTTTGTTTCTTCCCAACCATCATACGCTGTATCTGAAAATAAAAAAATTATCATACTATGGTAGAGATAATCCTGTAACATTCCTTTCTCACTGACAGTGGAATACCATATTTTAAACAAAATATTTCACTCAGTTATAAACAATGGTACAAGCCTATCTTACATTGACCATTTCAGTTTGAACTGGTGAAACAGCTATTGGTAGCTGACTCACTGCTGCAACTCTATATAGTGAAGATCTGAGTGTGCATATTGATGCACAGTTGTCAGTGATCATAAACAAAAATGGCTGTTTCAGCTATTGTATTTGCTTGGCAATATTTCACACCATTAACTACCATAAATATGATTACTTAATCAAATAAAAATAACCATCATTTCCCCCAATTGGGGGGGGGGTGCTCAAATGACTTTTTGACTAAATTTTTTAGAACCTAAAATTCATAAAAATATATTTCTAAACAATGGATTTTATTTTTAATCCAACATTATTTTTAATAAATACATGTGTTTGAGTAGATGTTTTCTTTTTTTTAAATAATGTGAAGAAAATGTACTCTTCAGCCAGCTTTGAATCTGCATCTCCCTTTGTATCTGGCATGCTTTAGATCACTCATTCAGAGAGAGTGTCACAGACCAAGCAAGGTTCAATTATCCTTTTTAAAGAATGTACATCCTCTTGTTTCAAATCTTCTTGGAAGTTCATATCTGCTCACTTTTTATTTTTGTATCTGATATGTAAAAAAAAGAAATTTCTAAGGAATTAATGGATTTTATTTTTGGCATAATTTCTTATTATTCAGTATTTTATTTCACTAAAAATAACATTTTAGACTGACAGTAATATAAAAATTACTTATGTAAACAAAGTAATTGTTGTTACATAATTTTGAAAAACAAATGCTGATTTACTCATTATACTTGCTGGAAAAGGCTTATAGTGGCATGGGGCTTAGGAACAGTTGAGTTATCCACGCCATGAAGGATGACAATGACTTGGGAATGCACGGGTAATTTTAACAAAACAAGATAAGGAATTCATTCACAAATTTACATGCTGGAAATAGTGTCTGTAGCTTACTTCAGGAAAATAAATCAGAATTCCATAGTTTTAACGTATTGTCATGACAAGGACAAGGAAATATTCATACAACAGATTAAATGATCTGACACAAAATATTAAAAAAATATTTAAGACAAAGGAGAGAAAATTATTTTAAGTGCTGTGTTACAGGTTAGAGGTTGATAATTGGAGAGTAATTTAAAACTGGCAAGAACTTCAATGCTGGTTGCAGGGAACTGAAATGAAACCTTTCACATGACTTCGGACACTCTTCTTTAATTTTTCTCCTTATTTTATATCAAAATGAATTTCGCATATGCTCACTACTTTCTTTCCTTCTTGGCTCAGCGACTAATTTCTTTGAAGGCAAGGTTTACATTGGTCCAAAAACAATTTCACATAGGCTCGAGAATTTCTTTGCTCAGTCTACCGAATTTGAAGGGAGTTATTATTTCGCACTCACTACGACATTCTACAACATAAAAGGCTAAAAGTGCGTTGCACCATTCTTTGATACGTCAATTTTACTCAAAAGTCTGAGAAAACTGTGCCACATTATTCACTGATTTTTAACTTCTCAAAGTTAAAAAGAAATCAGGTTAAAATTAATAAAAGGCGTGCTATCAGATATTTTTCTCTTTTTTGTAAAAGATGTACTTAGTAAAAAAAAGAATTGAAATTTTTTCAAGCACCTTATATTTAAGATGAACTCAGATAAAGAAGATACTTTATTTAAAACGTATTGCTTAACTTAATATATAATTTAATGCTCGCTCTTGTAAAATAGGAAACGAAAAAATAAAAAAAAGAACCCAATGTATTCAGTTTTTTAACCAGTTGTTTCTACAATACACGTGGTTAGGTCAACTAATTCAAACTGGAAGTTCATTTGTTATCACAGAAACAGTAGAAATTCCAACATACTGTAGAATAAAGAACAAAATATTTTTATTTCCAATCCCTTCTGCGTAAATACACAATTTTAAGTTATTTACAATTTTCTTTAAATAAATATACATACCTTTAAACCGAGAACATTTTTCGACAATTGTGGTTTCTTTGCTCCTTGCACAGCCATTTTGTTTTGCTTTATGTACACAAGTAGCCGCTTGAGTAAATGAATAAGGAAAAATCTATAATTTTATCTTTTCTTGAAGAAATATAATTGATACAAATGCAAGAAAAAAGTAATTTTTATAAAACTGTAGTAATGAGTCATTTTTTAACAATCAATTTGAATTTAGTTCATAATAATTGATACAAGTGGCCCTCTAGAGATAAAGTTTTAGTGTTAGCAGTCAGCACATGGAATTGTAATAATCACAATGAATGGAGAAGGTTGGCTTCATTTTTTGGTAAGTTTTCTTTAACTTTACATTGTGTGTTTAAGTAATTATTGTTTTGCTGACAAAGGAATAGTTGGATTGATAAATATTTTTCTTTATACTGACTTATTTTCATAAAAACTATTTAATAATGACTGGTTGCCTTACGTCTTTTTCACAAGCTTTTGCATAAAAAATGAACATAATTCAATAGTGATTTATTTAATTACTATTTCAAACATAACTTATGGATTCAACAATTTAAAAAAATAAATGTAAATTTTAACAAGTGAATCTTAAATTAGAATTTAGAGAAAAAAACGCCGATTATATAAGAAAAAAAAATGACCTTTACGATTTAGGTGAAAAAGTATCGATAAAATCAGAAAAAAAAAGTAATGTTTTTAATTAAATTGCATAGGTTTCTGATTTGCTTTTTTATATTGAAATATCCGTTTTAATTAATTTAAAAAACTTTAACTTTTTATCAAAGAGGAGGACTGGTTGTGATCATTGTTCTAAATTCTAAAATCAAGATTTCCTTTTAAAAAATTTACAGGTGATTTTGTTGCGTATAATTATTTGCTATTTTATTCTGTAATATTTATCCTGTGATCTATAAATTTATTTAATTTTCTTCATTTTGTTTAACAAAAATGTTAAAAACTAACCGGGAAAAAGTGTGTCACCATCTGCGCAAAAATGTTTAGCGCGTTTTTTTTGTTTTTTTTTGTTTTTGTTTTTTTTTAGTTTAATTTTGTACATAAAAAAAAAGTAAATGATCGTGCACTTTGTCATAGCAGGAAAGAAAACTCGTAAAATCTTTTATGAAAGAATGCACGAAAGTTGTCTAAGGACACTTTTTTTTTTCTTCGTCTGCTTTTGTAAGTTAACTAGCAAAAAAAAAAAAAAAATGAATTTAAATTTGTAGTTGAATAAAAAAATTTTATTTTTGAGCGCTAATTTTTTTTTTTTTTTTTTTTTTTATTTCTTAAAAATAAAAATCTTATTCTTCTTACAAGACCTTTTTTACTATCCAAAGGAAGAAACAGAGCTGACCTTTCTTTTTGGTTTTAAATTATTTATATTCAATTTCCAAATACTTAGTGTCAACAAGAGACGAACTGAATATTTTTCACTTTTGTTTATTTATGGAAAAATGTGTGGCCAGAATATAAAGTTAGGTAAAGCAATCTAAGGTAGATAACCCGAAAACGTCATTTTTTATTTTTGTATTAAAATGCAAAATACTCAAGTATTTTTTAAATTTTAAATCCTATTTGTTAGTGTTTAATCATGCAATTAATTTCAAATAAATATCGATACGGTTTTATCGTTTCCTAATTATCAACCTTTCAAGAGTTGGAGGGGCGTCTACGTTCTGGCAAAATAACTTCCCCACTTTACTGTGCAATGAACAAGATTTTATATTGCAAATTTAGCATTTAACTCCTTTACTTAAGTTAAAAACGTTCTTTATTTATTTTTATATTTTAAGCAAACTGACAAGTGACAAACTGTAATTTTACGGACTTGAGATAATTTTATCTCGTTCGGATTAAAGGTCAAAATTTTAAGTGTCAAGAAGCTGCGTGATTATCGAAAAATTGTTTCGTTTTTTGTAAGTTTGAATCTCAAGCCAGGTCCTCAAACTGATAAATGAATGGGTGGCGTACGTGACTGATTTACCGTCAAACGTTTTGCACATTAGTGTAACACTTCTTTCTTGTTTAATAATGGGGAGGTAAATTTAATTAATGTGGTAAAAAAATAACCCTATCCCAAGTTTAATCTCTCTTTCCTCCAGTAAAGTGATGACTACGATGTTTTGCCAGTAATTGAGATTGATAGATGTTACAGGCAAAATGTCAGTTTGGTTGGCATTATTGTAAAAAACCGAACTCCTAAGTTAGAGCAACTTTAATCACATCCACTAAAAAAAAGAATTTTTAAAGTTATTTATGTTCATGTTTCAGTCGAGAAAACCTTCCAATAAACTATTAGTATTTTCTACCGAAATGTTTCAATGTTTCGTTTGAAGACTAAGAGTTTAAATTATTATATGCCTTTATGTTTGGACTAGAATTCTTATCTTTCTATACTAACAGTGTTTCAGCCATTATACACTCCAGACTTCTTCATACTTGGTAGCCTTCTGAGAATTTTTATCTGAATCCTTTATTCAATCCACAAGAGTAGATTTTGCTACCAGCAATAACAAACATGTGGAATACTTTGAGGAAATTTCTATAGGACTATCACCACTAAAGTCAGTGATGTGGATTAGATATGTAATAAATAACATCTTCATACTTTTTAGCCCCACCAGGAAAATGTTTGATTACTGCTAGGCTATGTGAACTCAATATGACCTTACAGTTCACAATGAAAAAAGAGGCAAAAGATCAACTGACCTTGAATGTACTAGGACCTAGTAACTAGGTTCAAGGTAACTATATTGTAAGTCAAAATTCACTAGGCAATAACTGAATTTCAATTCCTGCCATCAAGAAAGGGATCATTTGCTGCCTACAACACCTGGCCAAATTCATAAGTGGTAATCTAGAAAACCCCTTTCAAGGTAAGAACTACTCTACAAGCATAACATCAGTTTTCATGGATAGAGGCAGAAGAGTCAAAGATTGATCTGTTTACTATAGATAAGGGATACATTTGAAAAGATTCAGATTTGTGGTCCCTAAAACAGTATTCAAAAGCAGTTGACCCACTTTAGAGATATATTTACTGAACTCATGTTGAAAAAGAACTTAATCAAAAACTGTGTACTCCATTCCATGCAGTTGTGGCAAGGTATACAATGGTGAGACTAGCGAAACTTGTACATCCCAAGGGTAGAAGTTGGTTGGAGTAAAGAAACAAATTAGATACTGGTTTGGAAAAATGACCAAAGTTTTAATTTCATTTACAAGATATGAAAATGTCTCTGATAAGTAGTATACTGTGGTGTGAAGTGAGAGCGTGAAACCGGAGTATGCTTAACCCAGCTGACTGCTTGGTAGCTATTGGTTTGGGTTTGTCGCATCAATAGTGTAGTCTGTTCACTTTCTGTGTTCACAGGAGGTCATTTTCACAGCCTAATGGTTGGACAGGCAGTCAGCCATGCTCTGGATAGCCTCTATGGTTAGCATGCACATGTGAAGTCTCTCTCTCTCTCTTTCTCTGTGCTACTGTCTCTCTTCTTTTAGAGCCTATATAATGTGGATGTAGTTGTAGACATCTGTGCCAAGCATGAGTTGCATCAATAATGGCTAATACTTTGGTATATTTTGTATTTGTTTTAAAAGTTGTTTTGAGTGAAGTGCACTGTGTTTGTGACTTAGCTAGACAAAAATTGGTGTGTAGTTAGATATGTTTTCTAATAATTGTATAAATTTAGCTCTAATTTGTTATCTCTATGTATTTTCTGCTACAAACTCTAAAAGTCCACTTAGCAGAACATTGAAAGGTTGTTGTCCCAGGAGACATTGAAATCGGGTATATCTGATCATGTATGGAGAAAAAAGGTTTGGTCATCAACCCCTGTGGAATGAAATCAAAATAATTAATAGAATAACACCGGATGATAAGATGAGTGAAAAAACCTATACACATGTAAGTCAATGACAATCTCCTCTTTGAATACCATCTGAGAACCATTGATTACATTAGAAAGGACACATAAGTTCTACTACCTGAGTACAGACATTAGGTTTAAGGCTCAAAATTACACTACTAGCTTAGTAGTAGATTAAAGTGTTTGGTAATATCTGTTTTTTTGGCAGTTGATTTTAATCCCTTGGAAAAGTAATGCTGAAAAGTCATATATTCTGGTTCAGAATAATTTATAACTTATAAACTTTTAAATATTAAAATTCTGTATTAATTACCAGCGATCAAGTGATATTGTTATTAAATAAAAAATGTATTTACTAATCATGAATGGAAAAGCTTATGAAAATTCAGTGCCCCCCCTCCTATATTTTAAAAAATAATTTATTTGCGTGTGTGTTTAAAGATGCTGATTTTTGTAAATATGGACATCCATACATGGCATTATCAGTAAATAAAAGCAGTAAATATAATAAATTTAAAATTTATTGGTAATTTCTAATATTTCCTCAACAAGTATCTTTGTAAGTACCACTATAAAGCCAAAGTACCAAAAATTCAATAAAATACTGAAATGCTTAAAATATTTAAATTTTTTAAAACTGGATAGTTAAAAAAAAAAAAAAATTACATAAAACAAACATTTTCATTGCAATTGTCATGTAAATTTATTACGATTATCTAATCCTTACTTAAATTTCTCAAATATTAGATAAAAAGCCCGAATCCATGTTAAAACCATGCTTTTCTGTGATATTTTAAACTCAGTCAGTAATATTTGTTTCAACTCAAATTAATTAATTAAACTTTAAATCAGCTAATTTTTCACAAATAATGTTTCAGGAAAGTATATTTTGTTTTTGAAAGATTTTTTTAATAAAGAAAATTATGTTGTGTTGACAGATTTGCCAATATAGACAATTTTATCGATTATCAAAAAAAAAAAATCCTTCTGATCAATTTAAATTCTGTTTGAAATACAGCACAGTATTTTGCTTATTGGAAATATTAAATTTAAGCTTGGAATTAAAGCTGAAATAAGTTTCAAGAAAGATTTTTCCTTTGTAAACATGCATTTTAAACCTTTTTTTTTTATTTTTATTTTTTATTTTTTTTCAATATCTACTATAAATTATAACCCACTAACCTTTTTCATGTATTCATTCACCTATAGAATGGCATAAAAAGTCAATTAGTTCAGTTTCTTTTACTTTTCCAAACTTTTGTAACCAGAAGCTTCAAAGAGAAGAAGAATATTATTCTTCTCAGAAGAGATAATCCAAAGCTTGAAATGAAAATCAAAACCACAGTGGGCAGCAAGGATTATTATTGATATTTTGATTCCAAGTATTCTGGAATCAAAATAACTATGACATACAGTATTATAAGTGGTTGATGGGATTTCCCATTCTAAACAAATTGTTCTCTTTCCATCTGTTTTCCATTTCTGTTATTTTGTCAAAATAAGAACATTTCTGGCTACTGTGATTTTTGAACAATTTGATTACACCATTGATAGAGATATCTGAATTCAGTAAGTTATCTTACTATTCATTTTAAGTATTTTTCAAGATTTGATTTTTGTAAAAATACCAAGATGAATTTTTTTTCTTAAGTTTCATCCAATACATCTGTTTCTATGCAATGATTTGTTTGAACAAAAATTATTGTAAACCTGTCCAATCATTCAATGCAAATGTCTCCATCTCAAGGCAATACCTATATTTTTTTTAAGATTTGCCTTTCTTCACTATCATTCCTCATGAATCTTGTCAGGAAAGAACTGGCGCCTATGATCCTCTGAAAGTAAGACAAATTTAAAATCTCAGATTGTTGGACATGAAATTGTCAATTTGTTTGAAAGAAATTGAAAAAACAAGACATTAATTGGAAAAGTTTCTCTTCTAACAAGATGTTCCTTCTATAAATATATTTAGATTATTTTGAAGCAAGCTCCTTACCAAAAATTCTTCATTCAAAGAAACAATCAAATTCATTGAAATTTTCACAGAAGATTATGGACACTACTATGATGGTTAATTGATCCCTGTTGCAGATGCCTGTTCAGGCACATTTACTTTTCTTCAACAAACACAGAGGCAACTTGTGGTTTAAACTGTAACTATGCTGAGCAAGCTTTAGTTACAATTTTTGGAAAATTTTTGGCATGATAAGTAATTGAACAAAAGGCCAGTATGATCCACAGTCATGATAACTCGTGACTTTGTGCTAGCACAAATATCAACAACTTCTGAATAGTATTGTCTACCCATTTCACACACAACCCATGCTATTATTTTCAGACACTTTCCAATGGTACCACACACTGGGGTCATCTCCCTAGGCTGAGATTATCAAGAAGTCCCTCTTTTGACACCTATCCATGAACATAATTGATGAGATTCAAACCTGGGTCTTGTGATTGAAAGACTAATGTTCCAACTTCTCAGCTATTTGCTGCTAATCAACATTTAAAAATTTAAATTTCTGTTGTAAAAAAATCATAAAGATATTGAACTGAAGCTAAAAAAAAAAAGTTCAGTGATAATCTGTTAAACCAAGAAAGGGACAAGAATTTTATTCTTATATAAATTTTGTTTTCATTGAAATTAATTTTTCACTTTATAATCAAATTATTGTTTGTCTTTTCTTTTTTTTCTATCCCCAGAAACAGGTTAGAGATGTTTGTGTCATTATCTCAGGCGGAACTGTCTGTTTCAGTTGCATATCCCTATATCAAGGCAATGAAAAATTCTACAAGCAGTTTGTTATGCCTGCAGTTCAAATCCTTAATCCAGAGACTGCACACAAAATCGGTGTTGCACTGGCCAAATACCACTTTTTTCAGAAACCAAAAACACCAGATCCTCCAATTTTAGTGAGTAGCTATCTTTGTGTCTCTGTCTCGAGAAACCGTAAATATTCTACCCACTTACTTTACCAATACTCTACCATACTATTACTCATCTTTCATCATTTTATACATTAACAGACTTTTTTTTTTTTTTTTTTGACCGGGAGTTATTGTTAGTGCCCAGGAATTAGGTTAAGCATTATTATCAGAATAGGGCAATTATATGTACTAATATTATTTAGCAGTAACTCATTAACTCCTTTTCTAAAGAATTCTTAATTTAAAGTGTAAATTTATTGAAAGCTGCTTCAATTTGATACTAACTGAACAATCTGGATCAAATTGAATCCACTTCTTACATGTAAAGAAATGAATCAGACTTGTAAATTTTGTCTGATGTTTATTTCAGCACCTTATAAAATAAATTGACCTATATGTGTGTCATGCTCCAAAAGATTATCTGTCCCAAATAACATTGGGTTTTGTGACTCATGAAGACAAATTATGCATGAGACTATCTATAAATCCATAATAACCCTACATTTCAAAAGATGGATGGATAACCTGAATTTTTGACAATAAAACTACCTTATGTAATTTTCTCACAAAAGTTTTTTTTATTTTGTTTGTTTTATATATTGTAATATAGCAACGACTCTAAGTAGAAGCTTATGAAGCTTTATTTGACTAATTCAGCTTTAGCACTGAAAACGTTCATTTTATTATAGTAGATGGATACAAGTGAGAGGGGAGATGAAACATGCTTATTACAAACACATATAATCTCAAATAATTTCCTAGTACAATCATTTTGTCATTTGATATATTTTGGTGAAACTTTGCTCTTATTGCTATTTCCAACCCCAAAAATAGTTTTAAAAGTTAGTTTTCACACTAATGTACTTTTAGTGAACTATTTTGCTGTATTTTACTAATGTTTTGAAACCTATAAGTGTTATTTTTATGGAGCTGTCATTCAAATTTATTATAGACAATTGCAAATATTACTGTAATTTTATTTATGAGATACCAAGTATGGTAGTTTTTACTTAACGGAAAAAAATAAATCTCTGTATCATTTTTAGAATATTCACATTATGGAAAGAATCCTTTTTTTTTTTTTTTTTTTCTATTAACATTTAGCTGGCTGTCAATACTTTTTGTTCTTTTTAACTTTGTTAATATTTATATCAAGTGATTTTTTTCCATATCCCAAAACCTGACCAACCCTACATGTGTCCTTCAGAATTGTTTGGAGCATTCTCTGTTTGTTATATCTTTTAAAGCAAGATAAGACAAATTATACCTTTCTTTCTCCACCCCAACAATTGTCCCTCCCTCCCCCAACCCTGTTGTAATAATTATACTCATATTTTGGAAGATACACACCGTAAGTAATTATTAAGCAAAGAAAAAACCTGAAAGATTTTTTTTCTTTTTAATTCATTTTAAAGTTTAAAGTTATTTTAGGAGACATTCTTTCTTTGATTCTAATACAAAAAGCATTTAACATAATTTTGTTAAAGTTGACTCAAAACTTAATAAGAAAAAATTTAGAATAAAATTTATTTTATCCAGAAAACCAACGTTTGGGGACATGAATTTCGCAACCCAGTGGGCTTGGCAGCAGGTTTTGACAAACATGGAGAAGCTGTAGATGGCATCTTGAAGATGGGATTTGGATTTCTTGAAGTGGGTAGTATTACACCAGAACCTCAACCAGGCAAAGAAAAACCCAGAGTGTTTCGACTTACAGAAGATAAAGCTATTATCAATAGGTAAATTTAAATTTATTTATATATGCAAATTTTTCATCTTCAAAAGGTACTTTTAGTTGGAGGAAAAAGTCTTTTTTTTTTTTTTTTTTCTTTTAGATCAGTTAGAATTTGAATTTGATGTTTTCTTTATATTAAAAATACCGTGGTTACAGGGTCATTCCAGCCAGATTCAACAAGGGTCCATCCTGAAGCTCCTCAAATTTCATCCAAATTTTCACCATTTATTAACATTCATCAGAGGAGTCAATCCTGTAAATTTCAGCATACCTCATTTCAAACAGATTTTATGCTACTCTGAGATTATGAAGATACTGAAAATTTTGAAAACATTGAATTTTCTTGTCTTTTACAGACCTCTCACTTGCTTTCCTTTGGAACTCTTGTTCCTTCGTCACAACAATTATGTGTCTCTGAAATTCAATCAAATAATCACACTCTCCTGTCACTTGTTGCAAAAATACCAACTGAAATTTTAAAAAATGTGCAAAAACTTTCTTTTACAGTTAAAATTCTGGATTTCACTGCATGAAGACAAACCATCTCGTCTTCTCTCATCATGCAGTATGTATCAAAAACATAACATACAAATCCCCTCCTTCCCTATTTCTGAGTAATAGGAGGGCAAAAAATGAAAAATGCAATATTTTTTTCCCATTTTTCAGCTGTTGTAACACATTATCACTTGGTTAAAATTACCATTCAATTACTTTCCAGTAATTTCCTTCTTGGTTAAAACCATGTAAAACTACACATTTTCTGAAAGACAATGTGAATAAGAGTGCAGAATAGTTGAAATGTCTTTGAAAGAAGTCATAAGCTTGTGATGAAAATGAAATTTTCAACCAATAGTTGTACAAATACATTTGAACTGCACAAAAACATATATATGGTTGGCAAATGCTACTTTACATTTCCAAAATTTACATTGAAATCAATGTGAATATGCCAAATAGGTGGCTAAAAAATAACAAACTGTAAAGTTAGTGAAAATCCTATGGATTTTTGGCAAACTTATTAGTCATGTCATGCCAATTACTTTGGGGTTATGAAGTTGGGCCAAAGGTGGCAGTTATGCTGAATCTTACTAAATCTTACTTAATTATTAAATCTCTCAATACATTAAGTCACTTTCCATGCACTAATATGACTCAATCAGGGCCACTATTACCCTGTTACAGTCATCATATCCACAAAAGTCTCAACCAACTGAACATTTTTCTGTTACAAACTGAAATATTTGTTCTTTAGTTTGCTTCTTTCAACTTGTGTGAATCAATGCATTGTATAAATACATTTTAATATTAAAATATTATACCACAGATATTGAATTTGCTAAAAATTTAATTTGGTCTAATAAGTTTTTTTTTTTTTTTAACATTAACCTATTGATGAATATATATTTACCATATTGTTTCATTATCTTTTGCCATTTATCGGACAATTTCATAATTCTGTCTTTCTCAACAAAAATCTGCTTCAGATGTCTTTTACATTTTTACATTTTTTCATTATCACTATTCTGTAAAGACTAGAATAAATGGTAATGCAAAGATACAATACTTGATAAGTGCAAACTTCCCAGTCAAACTAAAAGATTTTTTTCTTGGTCACCAAAGAAACATATCATCTAGCATTATCCAGATTAAATATTTGGCCTTTCTCTTAACTAATTCTAGCTACTTTTCATTAATTGCTGCATTTAATTAATCTAATTGAGAGAAGTATCTTTTTAACTCCTTTTGGAGAACCAAAAGGGGATCAAAGAAAAAGACTCTCTTTTCAATCTCACTATAGATACATGATCGTGTTTGGAGAAACCCCACTTTTTGTTTAATTGGTATTGGTCCATTTTGCTTTCAACATTGTAAAGTATCCAATTTTCATCAGCCATCACAATGTTTAAGAAAATGAAGCATTTTAATACATTTTAGCAGATTGCATGCTGTAAATACAGTCACAAGGTTTCTTTTCAATTGCAGTCTTCAAAAATCTTGTAACAACTCACCTTATTGAGGGACATATTTAACATGTTTCATTATCTTGTTATTATATTCACAATAGGGGACCCTCTCTGCCTGAGCTTTAGACAGTGACACATGCTGTGATGAGGTTCAGTTTAGTGAAAGAGTTCAGTGAAAGCAGATGTCATGTCACATAGATGCATAAGTACTTCTTTTGTTCAATTAGAATGATCTAACAGGAGTTGGATTGTGAGCCTTTGAGAGGCTGAATGGTCATTTCAGAAAATTGCTGCTTATGTTAGATGTGACATGTTGGCAGCAGGGGTCAAATGAACATTCTTTCACTTGTAGACAGGCATATAGCACTGTGGTGTTTGTGTTTTCATCAGAATATTACCAGTGTGGATAGGTAGTAGGATAATTATTTTATCAGAAACTTTGGGAATAAAACAAAGTGACTCAAGGGTTTAAAATAAATAATATATCTTTATTTTTTACAGTGATGATTGAGTCCTCGGGTATTTGGCACAGCAAAAAGTTCTTTAATCAGGCAGATATTGGTAGCAGTTTGGAGAAATGTCCATTAGTTGTTGTAGAAGTAAGACCATGATAGGGGTAGTAGTAATGGGAAAAATAAGGTCAGTGTCAATCTACTGTGGTGTTCTTTTCGGCCCTGAAACGTCGGAAATGTCAGTACCTGATGACCTCTTAACTGCTTCTTCACATGTCACACATGGCTGGTTTCTCTGTGGTAGAGTTCTGTTCTGTCCTCTTCTGCTGTCCTTCTGGCCCCCTCTGCTCTTCTGTCAGGATTGTAAGGTTCTATATCCTTTTCACCAGGTACAAGAATTTGGTGCAAATAACAAGGTCTTTTTGTGTCAATTTTTTTTGATTGGCCAAATTATTTTATTCTCTGGCATTATTTTCTTTTTCATTTTTTTATAACAGAAATATGCATAGAGCCTATCAGATCTTCTGGTATTTTTCAATCACAAATAAGTTAGCGAAACAGTAGCAGACTGCACAACATCCACAGCAGATCTGACCTTAGAAGTGTCAACACTGACTGTTGGAAATCATTTACTTGCAGTCACACTGAGGATGTGTGTGCCTCCAACCAGATTTCCACTTATGCCACAACACCATTGTGCATGCTTATGATGGTGTTACAAGATAATCACCTGAAGGTTCCAATGATAGTGTTCTGTGAAGAGAGCAAGTGCTACCTTCATGAAAGTACTAGCCGTTTGTGCATGCAGTGTAAACCAACAGTGCAACATCTTTCAAGGGTGTATTTTGCCATGACACATAAACCCAACCACTGGAATCATGGTTCAAAGTGCTATAAGTTACAACTTTTCTTGCTTTTGGTGTTTATAGAGAGAATGTTCAGTATTGCCATGTATATCTGAATCTTGTTCAATCTGTTCTGCTGCCATTCCTACAATTGGGATATGCTTTTCCAGCAAGATAAAAACTACCCTCATGGTACCCATGTTACTCAACATGCTCTACTCCATAACTTCCCTGGTCAGCATGATTACCAGACCTGTTTCCCACTGAACATTCATTAACCCACCAACAACTCTTTCTGTTGGTGTAAGGGGCATAAATAAGATGGTATTTGCCATTTGCACAATCATATGTATACAAAGGTCTAGGCCTGTATCAATAGTTATGTTGGATATACAGTCTATTAATATAGTCCATATAATGTTAATACACCTTATTTTAGAATGTTTGTGTGTATTCACCCATTTCTGTGATCATTTACTATGCTATTGCTATAATACCTGTACTTTTAATCTTGAGTAAATTAAAACACATTCATGTAATTTTATTTTATTTGACAAAACATTCTGATATAATGTTTATCATAATACATTCAAAAGCAATATTTTGAATGCTTCTAAAACTAAATAGTTTATAGCACTTAATAACAAAATAGAAACTCTTTATCTAATCAACTATGTAGAAGCTGTAATATTATTTGTTGCCCATTTATCCACAGATTCATAGATACATCATCCTAAGTCCAGAGCCAAATGATGAAAAAAGAAATAAAATAAAAATAAAGCATTTTAAACAACAAATTAGCATAATCTCCTACCACATCAAAACACTTAACACAATGCTGTTTCTTTATTAATCACATAGAATGAAAATTTTAATTCAAAATTTTGCTAATAAGTGTCAGCTTATTTATTGATGCTTCTTCATACCTTCTCACAAAGCTCAAAAATTTTTCTCTTTTATAAAATGACTCTTTATCAGTTAACCCTTTGAAGTGTGATCTGATGAGTATAGATCTCCCACCCCGGGTCCTGGCTGTCCATGACTCTGGCCAGTATACTGGCTGCCTGTATATACACTTTCACACAGCCACTCGAGTTCAAAGGGTTAATAAATAATTTCTCAAACATTTTTTTTTTCTGTTAAAGAATTATTTATTATTTTGACAATCTGGTGTGTCCATAATCATTCCTGGGTATAAGTTTTCTTCATTGAAAAGATCTAACATTAAATTTTATGATATTGTCTATAATTTTGAGAAACCATTAGCAATTAAAGATATTTTCAGAGAAATGAATTCAAATCTTTCTTTTTGTGATTTTTGTTGTTCCTACATTTTGGCCATTCCATTCTAGAGTCTTCTTCAGGAGTACTAACTGTATGAAAAGAAATGTTTTATTTTTCCTTTTTTTTATATATGACAACTTAAAAGCATTATTTTCTAAACTTCATTTTATTGACCTAAAGAAAGATATCACTAAAATAAAATGTGATTCTGTAAATATATAATAGAGATAAACTTTTGTCAACAAAGAAGTCTTAAAATAATATTTCTATTATTTATCATTTCAGATATGGTTTCAACAGTGATGGTCATAAAGTGGTTTATAAACGTTTAGCTGATCGGGAAGAAAGGCAGAAAATTAAAGGTAAGAGAAGCATTTTCTTGCTGATAAATCTTTTTTTATTTCATTCAGTGTCTTTGACCATTTCTACACTATAGGGGAACACTTCTAAAATATAGAAATCCTTGTCTATGGGTTACAGATAGTGTAAAAAAAAAAAAAAAAAAAAATGAATATAAGAGGTGGGAAAAAGATTCCTGTGTCATTGAGCACTTTTCTGGCAGACTATTAAATATATTCTGGAGTTTTGGAATTTTTTTTTTTTTTCTTCTCATACCACATTGATTTTCCAGCTATTTCATTCTCTGCTGTATGGGCATTTCTACCTTGATGATTTTAGTTGGTGACTATATCATATGTATTCACCACCTACCCTCATTATAACACTCTGGGCTAGTTGAAGATATAAATGCCAATATCACCAAATAGAGCAGTACCAGCCACCTGAAGAATATGTGCATAGCATGCAAGAAACTGTGAGTCTTGGTTGCGCAGACTTAAACCAGATTGTTTCAATAAATATAAATGCTTTGCCATTGCAGCATTGAGTTTTTGCTTCTTTTTGTTTTTTTAAATTTTCTGGTGTCTCATTTTAAGTATACTCTTTCAAGTATATCTGTCCAATAATTAAACTTTGTACACCCAGAAAAATACTTGAATGCTTTTAAATAACTAGCCAAACCATGAAAGACTTTAAAGATTTGTTGTATTATTGAGTCACATTAAATTCTTTAAAATCTTTCTTCTGTTGTTTGTTTTTCTGAAATGCCACTATCTCAATCTTCACTTGTCATTCTCTTACAATCAGCAACTTATATTTTGCTGATTGACTGTCCTCTTCAGTGTCACTCATGATGCATCCTTTCCCTGCATCTTCAAAGTGATGATGGTGCTTATTTTCTTCCTCTTTCAGTCGGATCTTTAATGAGTGAATCAAGAAATATGTTGAATATCAATTTCTGGACTGAAAGCTTTTCCACTTATATTACACCGTCCCCAGGTAAAACAATGACTACAACAAGATGCATTTGTATTGAAAGATTTGATGTACATTCAGTCCTCTACTTCCTTTCAATGAATGAAATGTCAGGATTATAAACAAGGCTTTAAAGAAAAATAAAATGAAAATATTTTTCATTTTATATAAAATATACACAAATATAATTCTGACATTCTCAAATAGATTGTAAGTAAAAGAATTTGTGTATATCATAGAAAATTTTCACAAAATTTTATGTTAACAGTAATACAAGTAAAAAAGGAATTTTTACTTTTTGGTCAATTGATTTTTCAGTTTTTAACTAATCGTGTAATGAGAAACTCATTTCTTACACATTTTCACAAGTCCTAAATATTACTATTCAATGATATTCATTTGTTGATTATTTATTTATTTTTATTATTTTTTTAACTTCTGGTTGAGATATGTTTAAAATAAAATGAATTATTGAAAGATTTGATCTATTTTACTTTACACATTTTTTTTTTTTTTTTTTTTTTTGTTTATGGAGATATATATAAGCTCCTGTGGAGAGCTCTTGATTGGGCCTTCGGACCAGCAATGACACTTCATGCATTGAGTACATATTAAATTTTATTAAACTTGAACAATATTTTTCAAAGAATTAACTGTTTTCATCAAAACAATGATATAATTTGGAATTTATTGCAAAGCTGGTTTTTCCATTCAGGGTCAGTACAAATTGTTTGTTTCCATTCCCAACCCTTGAACAGCCAACCTAAAGCTGGCTGTGAGAAAAGCAGGGTTCCATAAGATGAAGTCCAGTTACTTTCAATGATTGTCCTTAGGATTGACATTGCATAGCTCACACTCACTGGAAACTGAAGTCTATTGAACTCAAAAGGAAGATCTGGAGGAATTGATGGGATTCTTGGCATTAAAACTCTTTCCTCCTTTCCTGGACCAGTAAGGATCTCTGCTGCCAAGAGATGAGGAAGTATCTTCTTGACAATTAACTTTGTTCCATTACAAAGATTTCGAGGATCCAGATTTCTCAAAAGCATAACTGGCACATTTTCTTTTAGTTCCAGCTTGTGTGATGGCATTCCAGGAGGACTCAGTGAGTTCAAGAACTCTATTGGACTGCTTGCTCTTGTTCAACTACAGTGTCAACGGAAAAGTACTTCATGCTTTCTTTTGGAATTTCTTGGAGAAGTTTCCAGTTGATGCTATTCACAGTTTGATTCTTGGGAGCTAATATGGCTCTCTCACAAAGCCAATTTGAATCCATAAAATGGTGTTTAATGTTTGTATAGACTTGGTTAATAAAGTCTTGGATACTTGAGACTGAAGCTCCACAACCATTTGGGAATGAAATATCTCCATTTTGCAAAGCAGCAAATCTTCCTTCTTCAAGGTCACCTGTGATTCTAACTCTCATGTTTGTTTTCAGCCTGAGCTTTTGAACATGGCTCCAGATGTAAGAATTTTTCAGGAAGCATTGATTTCATCAGCTGGAGTTCCTCTTGCAATGACTAGTAATGTTTGTCTAAAATCAACAGAATAACACAGTGATACCTCCCATTTGTGAATTTTGTCTAATGTCTTTGAGTGTTTTATCCAGAGCCTCAAATGCTTGCTTGTGTGCCAAGGTACATTCATCCCAGACAAGGAAGCTTGTCTCCTCCAGTAGCTTAGCCAAGTTGGTTCCTCTTTTGATGTGGCAAATAGGGGGTTCATTGTAGTTCAAAGCCAATGGAAGTTTGAAGGTGCTGTATGGACCTCCAGGCAAGAGGATAGCAGCAATTCCAAATGATGTTACTGCTAGAGCTATTTTTCTTTGGAGTCTCACTGCAAGTAAAAGAAGGCTAGTTACAAAAGTTTTACCAGTACTTCCAGGTGCATACGAGAAGAAAATCCCTCCATTGTTGTTGCTGATGTCATCAAGGGCTTTCTGATACACTTGCTGTTGGTCTTGCTGCAACAGAAGCTCATTGTTTTGAACACATTGCTTCAGTTCTTCTATTTTGTGTCCGGTTTCTCTGATTTTTCCAGTTTCTCTCTTTGAATTTGGCAGACCAAAATTGCTGAGATCTCTTTGAGCCAAGTTCATCACTTTATCTTCAATTTCACAGAGAGCTAAATTTGCAATCTGAGGATTCAATTCTATTCCTAGATAAGCAAGTCTCATTTGAAGATGATGTATTTAATTTAGTTGTGTCCCTTTGATTGAAAAAAGTGTTACAGATCTAAAAGATATATATATATATATATATATATATATATATATATATATATATATATATATATATATATATATATTTCAGATCTAAAAGGAAAACTGTAAGTAATCAGATTTAAAATACAATATTTCAATTTATAATCTTTTTTGATCTCTTTATCATATTTTCCTAGAATAAGAAACAAATCAGTCTTTCCCAGTTTAGAAATGAACAATATATACAAGAAAGAAAAAAGGTGCAGTGAAGAAGTTTAAAAAATTAAGATGGAAAAGTCTTTAATGTTAGCTTATTTTTTTTATTTTTTTTTATGCACTTGAAATTTTCTCGTCTCAAGATCTGTCATTGCTTCTGTTAATCTGTAGATTTTGTTTTAAATACTGGATTTGTAAGATGAACCTTTCCCTCTCAAATTAACCTTTAAAGTCAATTTATTGCTTGAAATAATCTTCAAAGTTATTACTAGTATTTCTCTTTTCTTTTTCTTTTTTTTTTTTTTTTTTTTCTTTCAATGGAATAGAAATTCCTTGCCACATTTTTATATTAGCACATTGAGTCCTTCCCTTACTGAGAAAGGGCCAGTCAAGTACAAGGCTTTTATTCTCACACTTCGCAACAAGAGTTAAAACTGCTTTTATTTTGTCTAGTGTAAAGAATATTTTAAAATATTCAAATTATAAAAAAAAAAAAAAAGTTAGCGTAAAATATCAATATATTTATTTGTAAAATTGATTGTACTATCTAACCAAGAGAAACTCTCACTACACATGCTCAGACCATGACATTTTATTTCTCTTTGTTTTTTAGAGCCTGGTATTCTGGGAATTAATTTAGGCAAAAACAAAGACTCTCTAGATGCAGCTAATGATTATGTTCAAGGTGTACGATTATTTGGGGAATTAGCAGACTTCCTTGTGATCAATATCTCCAGCCCAAATACTTCTGGTCTAAGGGATTTACAAGCTAAAGAAAACTTAGAAAACCTTATTAATAAAGTAAGTGATATATATTAATACTTTCTTGCTTTCCATTGTTTTGATCGAGTCTCTGTTACTAATAGTAGTGTTGATATATTATTTGTTTATTTGATATTTCACTATTTCAACTATTAAAATTGTACAATTTCTTTTTTAATTCCATATAAGCAACATTCTATTATTATTTTCTAATTTTGACCAATGTTACCAACGTCACTTAAAATTTAGTGTATTAGCAGGCAATTAAATATAGAACAGTTTAAAATTTGTATCCACTATTACTAAGCTATTTACTTGTAAAATCCTTATTGAATAACATTTAAACTTATAAACAAACTTTGGAACATTCTCATATGGCAGATAAGTATTGACTATTCCATGTTCTATGTTGATATTGTAATACCAATTTGTTATTTAATCTATAACTCTGTGTCAACAAAATTTAACACAACATTCAAAATAGATTTTTAGAGTTAGCTGACATAACAGTAATATTCTATTGACTTGTGATTGGAGGAAACTTAGCTTTTACCACATGCCTAATGCAGCATTACCTTTTACATGCATTCATTTTATTGTTTGATTTCTATTCTCTCTCTTTTAGGTAGTTACAGAACGAAATCAATTAAAATGTGGAAAAAAACCACCATTGTTAGTAAAGATTTCCCCAGATCTCACAGATAAAGACAAAGAAGACATTGCTGAAGTTGTAATTAAGGAAAAAGTGAGTTATAGTGACAAGTTTTTCATTGTTTGATTTGATTGTATTTTTTATGTTTAACTTATTTTCACTGTTTAACGTTTTTTAAAGATGTATGCAAAAATAGTTTGAGATTTGAACATGCAACAAAATTATGACCGTTTTTTTTCCTCTTATTTGAATCTTGCTTTCACTCTATGATCGAACTTAGTTATAATCATGTCAGTTTTGTTTTACTCTCATTTTCTTAAAAATGGCAGATGGGCCATAGTTGTTATACTAAATATTATCTGGTAAAAAGCATTACTTTAGATGAATAGTCACAAAAGTAGTGTTGATTTGTTTTCACAGAATTTATTTCACAAATTAGATTTTTTACTCATGGTTTTCAAATTAGAATGGGGCAATATAGCATCTTTTATGAAAACAGTTTTCTTTCTTACATTGATTTATACAGTTGACATTTATGTTGACTTTCTTGAAACACCAGTGAGTAATTTTGCAGCTTTTTTTAACACACATGCTCCATTCAAGTCAGTCTCCAGATTAATTGCATCCATAAACTAAGTTGACTACCTTAGAGAAAATACTCCCTCAGTTATTTTGGAATTTTAAACAAAGGCCATAATTTTGTCCAGTTTCTGATTTCTGACATGTGGTCTTTATGTGAGTTTTCACACCTAACATCCACTGTATCTCTAAATTCTCAATTTGGTTTCAGACTGTGCATTTAATTTAATTTATAAAACTTTTGTCACCTCTGTATCACATGAGCTTTAAGTATCATCAAACTGATTCTGAAATATCAAACAAATCTTTTGACATGAAGTATTCTTCTAAATCAGAGATAAATACTATTTTTTTTGTCTTTTGTTCATATTTTAATGTTTAAGACTTTGAGTCAATTTAATTTTGTTATAAGTATCGTATAGGTATATCTACTCTCTTGGGGATGGGCAGTTGAATGTATGGATATTTCATCCAAGAAATTTTCCATTCTGTATTTAACATCTCCAAAGTTACAATCTCTTACTGCTGGCTTGTAAAATCCTGTCTACTCTAAATAATGACAATTACATTACTCTAGTTTCATTTGTTCCTTAACAGAATTTAAAGATCTGATTAACAAGTGAATATTCCTTTTGCCATTTAAAAGACTAGGAATGCAAAGTGCGGTTATCTCCCTTTAGTTTTGATTTTCAAGGGTCACGTGATGGCTGGTGAGTGATGTCAGTTCATGGGGTGATGAATCCCAGTTATGTAGACTGCAGATGAGCAAGATATGGTAAAGAGAATAAAATGGTAATCATAAGCTTATGCTAAGGATTATGGAGGACATGAATGGCATAATCATTTTCCTTTCAGGAAATATTACAAATAAAACACTGTCACTTCTTGCTTTTCACACTGTTGTATTCAAATTTTACAATCCCTCTATATGGCACAAATAGTGATATTGGTATAAAAAAAATGCATGTTTGTCATTCCTTTCTTTCAGCTATTCTGTTCCATATATGGTATTATGATGTTAGTATATCATGGATAACTAATGTCTATAATGGGGAAATGGAAACTGGAAATATTCTCTATTTCTTAGTACACCCTCATTAGGATTAATATAATGAACATAAATGTATTTCATCCAATTTCGATTTTTATGTGTTTCTATTGTGCAGAATTCTGTAGATGGCTTAATAATCAGCAACACAACAGTGTCGCGCTCAGAAAGTCTCATCAGTTCCCACCAAAAAGAAACTGGAGGTTTAAGTGGAGCTCCACTCAAACATATGTCTACTCTTGTGTTGCGGGATATGTACAGTCTCACTCAAGGTTTTGTATAATTTTATGTTCATAATAAACATCATTTGTATATTGCTCATCTTAATGCTACACAATCAGAATTATATACATGAGATGTTTCATAAGTAATGCCTTCCATTTATTTATTTTTTTCATTTTAATCATTTCATTCCAATCAAACAATAAAGCCACAAGGATTACTGAGTGTGAGAAGATATGAGAAAAATAAAACATTTAGTAAAGAAAGATATCAAGAAAATAACAGGAATTAAGAAAATTAACAATTGACAATGTATTTAAATTTTTCTATACGAAGAATATTTTTTTTGCCTTGCAGTTGAGTATTGTGAAGTACAATTAGTTTGGGATCATTTTGTTGTAGAATATCTTTTTCTAAAAAATGGCTGTCTATTCAAGCAATTTTGAAGTATCCTGATTTCTATGAATTCATCTATTATTTATACATTAATTTCTTAAATTAAAAATGTGATTGGGTTTGCACTAGGGTAGAAAAATGTTAGGTGAACATATTCTTTTGCACAATTTTTCCCATCATATTCGCTATTTTAGAGTGTCTTTGACATTTAGAGTATTTTAGCAAGATGTTTATTTAAAATGAGTACCTTTTTAAATAGCTGTTGTCAACAGATGTTGATAAGCAAAGAACACCAATTTTTGGCTTGCATACAAAAAAAATTGCTTGTTGAATATGGTAACTTTTCTTTTGTGTTTGACTTTGCTTATCTAGATATTATGCATTATTTTAACTATCTATAAAAAAAAAAAAATAATGATTATGTAAATGCCCTTCCCTACATCATTTTCACAGGGGGTCCTGACATAACACATGTATACTTACTGTGATAAAATAATGCAATGGCAATTTTTCTCTTCTCCAGATTTCCTAAGAGAAAAATTCAAAATCTGAAGGAAAAAATAAATACATATTTTATTAGAAAAAAAAAAAAAATTTCAAGTCATTTTAATTTTGAAATAGTGAAGTGGTTTATGGATCACATTATATAAACAGAAAAAAAATGACAAAGATTTGCATGCCTACTATTAGAAACCTTACAAAAGCCCTGCAAGAACAGTTTCCCAAATCACACATACAGATCTTGTTTTGCTTTACTGTTCAGTATATATAAATACACTAATTTTTGTATCTGGGATCATCTGGCAAAAACAATTAACATTACTAAATAGATTCAATTGCTTTTTACTATAACAATATATTGGCCACTCTGTATAATTATTTTATTTACTTTTTTTAAACTCCTGATAGCAATATTTTCTTAGATTTCAAGTATTCTTTGAGATTATATCATTGGTGGTTGTAATTTCAGGCAAGCTTCCAATCATTGGAGTTGGTGGTATCAGCTCTGGTAAAGATGCATATGATAAAATCAAAGCCGGTGCTAGTTTAGTAGAACTCTATACAGCACTGGCTTACCAAGGGCCTGTGGTAGTAAACAAGATCAAAAGAGAATTGGCTGAACTTTTAGAGTAAGTTTATATATTTTTTACCATTTTCTTTTTACTATTCATCTTTCCTTTCTATCCTAATGCCAACTGCATTGGAAGGAATCTGCATATTTAATTAATAAGGAAATATACATATATAATTATTATTTTGCCTTCAAATACCCAGACTTTTTTTTTTTCTTTCAATAAAGACTATTTCGAAATTGCCCAAGTTTCTTAGAGATTTGGTAACATAGGATTTAGAAACAAGACTCATGCTACTAACAAAATTTTCACTGTCAAAGAAGACCAGGGTAATTTGGTATACAAGGTATGACCCCCAAATTTTAGGGAATTTGAACAGCACATGCATAATCTGAATGTTGTATAGACTTTCATCATTTTATGAACCAATGTTCAAACAACCTAAAGAAACTACTTTGAAGGACACAATGGAAACTAAGATATTAAAGGGAAAGGAAAAAAAAAATTCATGTTCAAATTTTGCACAATAAATTTATATTCTTTTCTTATATACTTTGCTATTCAGCCAGCATGTCCCTTTTGGTTGATCAGCCAACCTTCAACCTTCTTCAGGTGTCTGTCTTCATACCTGATATCTTCCTAGGAATCTTGAATTGAATCTTTTTTTTATTATTATTATTATCCTTGATTGTTTCTCATTTCACTTCCATTCTTAGGGGATATTTCATACCAGTTAATGCTTGCCAGTTTTAGTCACCTTTGTATCATTTGTCTAAACCAGTATGTGACCTTTCAGCACCACCAGACCAAGGGATTGAATTTACAGTTTCTACAAAACTAGGTATATCCAAATCAATGCTTTAATCCAATAGGCCCCATATCCTCATTATTGAAAGTTACAAAATATGAAAATAGACACATGAAGAAGATCAGAACATTGTGAGTATAACAACCAAGGTGAGAATGCTGGTATGAATAATAAAACATATAATAATTCCTCATCTCAATTTCAACAAAAATTATAACTTTTTCTTGTATTTTATACAATGTTTTATAGTATTTAAAAAAAATTCTAAATAAGATGTTTTCTTTTATATCAGGGCTGATGGCTACACATCTGTTGCTGATGCTGTTGGAGCAGACCACAAGAAAAAACCTTGATTTTGAAGATATTGGTAGTTTGGCTATATTAGATTTTATGCAGAAGCAATTTATATCCAAAACCTCACAATCCATGCCAGAAGGAAAGCTTTGATGATATTTTGATCTTCAAAGTAATTCTTATGTATTGACAAAAAAAAACCATCTCCAAATTTATTCAGTTTGGTAGAAAAAATTTCTCTTGATGCAATTTTGTGTATCCTTATTTCTTATTTAATTTTTTATTTAAATCCTTTCTCTCTATTGAGGTTAAAATATTCATCAGACAAGAAAATAATTAAGTTTTATTTATTTTATTTTTTTCCCTGTCAGTTTTAAACTTAAATTTCTAGAATTAATATTGATAAAATTACATCCAATTTTTTATTGAACTATATTAGAAACTCTCTATGAATGATTACGTCTCAAATTGATTATGTGGGATATTTGGGTACATGCATGATATACATTTACTGATAAGTCAACAATAGGTCTATTTTAAAAGAGGCAATAACTAGATACGTCTATAAATGTGCAAATGATGATGAAATTTAAAAAAAAAAAAAAAAATGCTGGTGTAATTCTTTAAACAGAATGCATAATCTTTGCCTTTAGTTTACAAAGATTATGTATTCTGTTTAAAGAATTAATTGGGTACAAAACAAACTTAATTATTTCTGTGATATTAATTTGAGAAGGTTCAATATTGTCATATTTTATATCATTTTTCATTACACTGTTACAAGCCTCTCAGATTCAGAAATATATATTTTTAGTCTCTACTTGAACCAAATAATAAATTACATTATATACAGTAATGTTTTTCAGTAGCTTGGGGTCCATTGCTAATTTTTAATTTAGGTACCTCCACTTTTGGCATAAATTTTCGATACCTAAGAAATTTGTAAACAAACAAAATTTTGAATTTAAACTTCTTCCTAAAATAAATTTATATATTTTTGACACATTATTTGAGTAAAATTAGAAAATTTAAAGTTAAAATAATCTGATATGAAACAAACAGTACTTACTTATAGCTTAAAAAAATTTGTATCCAAACATTTCTTAACGATGTGTCTGAATTTTTTGCATGTCTTTCATCGCGTTCACAAATGACGAGGTGATGACAGACAGCTATGTATGATCAAAATTGACAAATTTTTAAAAGTAGGCGAACGCAGTTTTTCGTTTTTAACTAGTACTTTTTAAATATTAACATTTTTATTCAGCAATTATGTACTATTTATTTTTTTTATTTCATACTTTCTTAATTAGACAATTTTTTAAATCATTACATAATTGTTTAAACTTTTCTTATTAATTAGATAATTGTATATAAACTTTTCTTATTCAAACTTTTTCATTAGATAATTTTTTAAACTTTTTTAGATAATTGTTTAAAGTTTTTATTAGATACTAATTCTTTATATTTTAATTATATAATTGTTTAAATTTTTTAAATAGATAATTCTTTAAACTTTTTTATTATTTAGATAATTCTTTAAACTTTATTAATCAGATAATTCTTTAAACTTTTTTATTAAGCATTTCATTTTATTAATTATTTCAATGAAATATTATCCAAAATAAAAGAAAATACTTTAAAGAAAAATATTTAATAAAAAGTAATTAAAAATAATTACAACTTTTAAAATTTGAAAAGAATTTCTGCAAACACGTTAACGATGTGGATCTGAACTGGACAGAGGAGAGAAATAACTGCAGTGCCAGACAACACAAATCACGTGACCTTTTTAAGGATTATGTCGCATATACATTTCCATACATAGAAATTATGAACGTTTTTTCAATAAAAATTTTTTTAAAATTATTTTAAAAATATTTTCGTTCAAACGACTGTTATGTGCTTTTCAAAGTTCGATTTGTAAATTTACATTTTCATTAACATTATCATTGCATTACGTGCGCAAAAGAAAGAAATAATTTTAAACGATTTTTGAAGTATTAAGATGTTAATGAAAAAAATTTTAAAAATGGGGAAAAAATTTGAAAAAAATACATTATTCATCAAATTTTTTATTTCTTCACAAAATAATGTCCTTAGTATAATGTATCTACAAAAACAGGTGGAAGCTTTTCTAATTAATTAATGTCATACTTTTTACATTTTTTTTTTTTTTTTTTTTTTTTTTACAATTCAAAGCAGATTTTCTATAAACCAATTAATGTTTTACAAAAAAAAAACTGGTGATTTACTTTCTACAAAGAGTCCTGTTTATAACTAATAAAAAAATCTCCGTTGCAAGATTTAATTTCTCGAAATTTCATGAAAATATGTAAGGGTGGAAATATGTTAAAAAAAAAAAAATCTTTTTAACAAGATTTTCTAAAAAAAAAAAATTTCAAAAATAATTTCATTCATTTGTGAATAAGTCCTGAAAGTTTCATTAAAATCTGACAATTATTTGATTTTTGCAAGAATTTTTAAACTTAAGTATCAAAATTTATGCCAAAAAAAGTGGAGGTACCTATTTTAATTTCTTTCAATCAATTGAATTTAATTTCAGTTAACTATATGGAATATCTAATTTAAATTTAATCTCCAATTTACTCAAACAAAATTTTATACATGTTACTTTGTGACATATTATTTACTTCAGCAGAAATATGAAATGAATATGTAACTAATATAGTTAAGTATCACCATTACTGGTTAGTGTTTGATTTCAGGTTGAAACCAAAATTTCAAATTGTGAATTTCAAGTTGAAGTCTCTTCCTACATGAAAGATTGAAACATTTCAATTTTCTTGTACCTGGCCTTGTCATATGAATCTAGATTTATGTAAATACCAACATAAACATGCCACTGTTTGATATTTGTATCATGGTTTCACCATTAAAATAGTAATAAAATTATGATATGTTTTTATAAACAAATTCAAATATTTAACCTTTTAAAATTATTCAAAGTGTACTTTTAATGCTTATTTTCACTTTAAATATATACTAAAATTATTTTATGAAAATTTACAACTAAGTGGAAAAATTTTTTTGTGTGTGTGACACATTTCATCCTTTAGAACTTCATTGGACTAAAAAAAAAAAAAATGAAATTTCTCACATGAAAATTTTTTTTCTACTTTATCTTAGATTTTTCTTAAAATTGTTATATCTAAAAAAAAAAAAAAAAAAAATTTTCCCATACTAAAACTATAAAAAAGATATTTTTGATCTTAGATTATAAAAAGAAAAAAAAGAGAAATTAAACAAATGTTATGTTCCTAAATTTTATTTTATTTTTTTTTTTTTTTAACAATATGAATTTCTGAAGAGGAGGAGTTATCACCATTTACATTATTTTCATTCAAACTATTATCTTCATCTTTGTTCAACAAAATTAAATACAGTTAAATTTCTGCATGAATTTGCTTGAAAAAAAGAAATTAAAAAATAATGATGCAGATGAAGATTTTCAAAATATTTTTTTACTTCCAACTGTAGAGCTGCTGCTTCTGTGTGCCATGTTCCTTCAGGACATGGGTGATCATAGTACTCCACAATTTCCTGTCCTTTGTAGCTCTTACAGTTTCAAAATTTACTGTATCACTGATCTGAGACAGCTGAAAAGATATTCTTTGAGACTGAGCTTAACGATTTTGTTTGAGAGAAAGCAAAGAATTTATAAGGATTTGATCAATAAGTGTATAGGCTGACATTCTTATTTGCTGACTTTTGATCTTAATTTGTTTTTCCCATAATTAATGGAGAAGTGTTGACATAGATTGTTGAAAATATAAATATTTGTTGTGTATCATAAATGCCTTTTCCATCATTAAGCTGCAGGTTTATTGACTTGCTTACATATGTAAAATAAAATTTTAAGGAGTATCCCCCTATTAATTAAAAAACAAATTGTAAATGTAAAGCTATTAACAATTGTACGCTTAAAAAATTCTACAGATGATTTAAAATTTTGAAACTGATTAAAGAAATAATTGACAACTATTGCAAAAAATAAATTTTACTGATTTTTGTTTTTAGTAATTTGAAAAAACCTAATTATACCCGCACTATTATTCAAATAATTTTTAAACATTATGATAAATATACTCAATGTCAGACGGCTAAAAACAAATCTCAGGGTGGTTGATTTTAAAATATTATCTGGCCTCAATTTATAATTGAGGCTTGTTTGGCATAAATTCCTGTTAAAGCTTCTAAGATAAAAGAGTGTCTGAATTCAAGCAAAAGTGTAACAATTCTTCAGCATGTATGTAAAATGATAAATCTTGATAAACAATCCTAATTGATAACTATTTTAAAATTGTTATGTCTCAAAAGGTTAAAAATATACAAATATTAAAGGAAATTGAGTAGTTTAGATCTAAATTTGCATTTAAATTAATTTGTTTTCCAATAAAAAAGATAAACAGTTAAAAATAATTTCTATACCTCTACCTGATGTATAAAAGGAAAAAGAAAATTCTTAGGTAAGATGGTAATCATGCTTACTAAAAATTGAGAATTTTTTTTTTTTTCTCTCTCTCTCTCCCAACTTCAAAGCAGTATATATGTTAACCCTGTAGACTCCCTGTTGCCTTACCATATCTGTGGTATTGCTGGTGTGGTATCTGTAGCAAGTAAGTTGTATGGAGTGGAGTTTTTTCAGTTTTAAATTTAGAATTCACTTTCAACAACCAAAGCTACTGCTACTCTGCTATTAACTCATAGCTGGATTCATGCAAATGTCTTTGTGCTGGAATTTGAACATTGCATGCCAATTCCAATTTCCACACCAATAACTGCTACACTATACACACATCCTAAATCAGGAGTTTTTTTTTTGTTTTTTGTTTTTTGTTTTTTTTTTAACAGTGAGGTCTATCCTGTACTAGGTCCAGATGCTACTCAAGTTACAAAGAGGCAGTTTATGCAGGTAGGAGGTGGGAGGTAACAGTTAACCCTAAACTTGAACAGGTAGATATTGTAGTAATTGGGAAAACATCCTGTTGGGATTCAGTTCCACACAACGGTAATTTGTAAGAAGATGTAGGAACAT